AAATTTACTGAAGGTGCCCTCAATCCCCATGTCCATATCGTCCTTAAAGATGTTAAACAGCACCAACTCCAAAAACTGAGCCCTGGGGAACACCGCTAGTGACCGGCCACCAACTGGATTTAGCTCCATTGACCACAACTCTCTGGGCCCGGCCATCCAGCCAGTTTTTTACCCATTGAAGAGTCCGCCTATCCAAGCCACAAGCAGCCAGTTTATTTAGGAGGATGCCGTGGGAGACCGTGTCAAAGGCTTTACTAAAGTCTAGGTAGACAACATCCACAGCCTTTCCCTCATCTACTAAGCGGGTCACTGTCGTAGAAGATCAGATCGGTCAAGCATGATCTTCCTTTCATAAATCCATGTTGGCTGGCCCTGATCCCCTGATTTTTCTGCATGTGCTGTGTAATGGCACTCAGGATGATCTCTTCCATAAAAGAGATCAGCTCACCCGGATGATGCTCTGGCAGGTGGTGAGGGGCAGCCCCACCAGGCTCGTCCCATTGACGGACATGAGGCGGTCTCCGATGCTCAGCTCGCCCGACCTCTCCGCAGGACCCCCGTGCATCAGGTTGGCAATGACCACTGTAGGCAGGATGGAGCCCCAGCCCGACTCCACAATGGCGATGCCCAGGATCTCTCCCTTCTGCTTCCGGATGCGGACCTGGGGTGGGGGGCACAGATGGGTTACGGTCACCAGAGTCATGGGGCACATGTCCCAGCTCCAGCATGGGTGTCCTGGGCTCACAGCTGACTGGGACGGGGCCCAGTTTTGTACGGAGCACCTCAGCTTCTCAGGTAGCCATGGAGGGGACAACACAGAGGTGCCAGTGGGTATCCTGCAGTCCCCACCCCTCCAAAGCAGCTCTTACATCCTTGCAGTTTTCCTGCCGGGAGAAGTGGGTCAGCTCCGCGTTGTATTGTTCCTGGTCCTCGAGGGCACGGCTGTACTGGCGAGGGCTCAGCTCACTCGGGTCAATGCTGTTGGCCTCCAGGAAGCGCTGGTAGGCCACGCCGAACGCCTGCCCGATGGCCTGAGCGATGATCTGGGCCTGGGGAAAGAGCAGGGTTGTTCGTACCCACGGCTCAGGACCAACAGCCTCATGGCCAAACTGGAGCCAACAGCTGCCAGCACCTTGCAATGCCCAGCACAAGCACTGTGCCCTGGGAGCTCCAGGGCATCCTGGCTCCTTCCCTGCCTGAATGGGCCCCTTACAGCGCCAGTCCACCTCCCTTTTCTCACTGGGCCCCTCTACGTCACTGAGATGCTCAAGCTGGGCTCCTTCCCCCTCTCTGTGCTCATCGGGAGCCCCCAGCACGAAGACTCAGAACACCTGGTCATTACAGCAGGACCCCAACGCCACCCTGCCCTCCTGAGGGACTCGCGTGTCGCCTCACATCAGCCGAGTGGAAAACGTGGCAGATCATCTTGTAGAGCCGCTTTTCCTCTGTCACCTCCGACCGCCGAGGCAGTTTCCGGCGTGCCATGAGCACCACGAGGGAGCCGATGTCGGCGATGTAGGAGATGGTCTGGAGGGAGTGATCCATCATGGCCTCCTGGCAAGGGGAACACGAGCAGAGACGTTCATCCCTTCCCAACCCGATGGACCCCATGAGCAGCCAGTGAGCCAGCCAGGCACTGCCACAAGCACGAAGGGTTTGGGTTCAAACACCACTGTGCCGGGATGCAGCTCAAATGCCTAGCACATGGTGGGCAGAAACTATGTCTACACTAAAATGCACAAACAGATCCTTCAATCAAGGAGTCATCTGTGTCTCTGGGTGCTGCCAGGGGACAAGACAGCTCTTCCCACTTACTATAAAGCAGAAACTAATCCTGAGGCAAAGAGCTACAGAAATTTCAAGCCTAGGTTCCGCAGAGCTTGGTCTGGGAATCCAGCAGCTCCCACGAGGCACAGTTTGCCTGAGAAGCCTCATGCAGCCATGCAGAGAGCCAAGCGACACGACATTTCTGCATGGGGTGGCTGCGGAGTGACATGTCTCCTCCCAAACACGTGTCCTCACTCGTAGGCCATCCTTAGGCACGACCCCAAGGTCAAACAGGAAAGTTTCAGCAGCCCCAAAGCTATGCGGGTGCTCCTGTTCCCCGCTCACCTGCGTGTCAGCCGTGAGCACCTTAATCCTCTGTGTGGAGACAAACAGATCCACCTCCGTCATGGGCTGGGACTCCCCCTCCGGTGCCTGCAGAAGGAAGCGCCCAGGAGAGGTCACTGCTGCTGCCAGGACTCCTCTGGGTCCCTGCCCCACAGCCGGGAGGTCCCCCTGGGCACATCCTGAGCGCTGCCCCACGCCTACGAGGGGCCAGGCTGGTGGTAGTCATGCCCCCCTACCCTCCTGCACCTTGATCCTGTCCACCGCCTCCTGGGCCTGTGCCATGCGGACGCTGGTCGGGGGGTTCCTCTCTGAAATCAGCTGCGTGGAGCCCAGGTATTTTGCCCCAAAAATCACACCGTCCAGCAGATCCTCCGGGTCGCAAGGGCCTGGAACTGAGTCATTGGGAGGGACTAAGCAGGGGCTGGTCCCCCTACCTCTGAAAACTGGGGGTCCCAACTCCTACTGCCCGTTAGCTGCATTCCTACACATGGCAAAGCAGCTCAGCAGTTGGGAGACAGGCTCCTGGCATCACCAAGGGACCAGCTCTGACCCCAGGGCTGCTTCCCCCTTCCCTCGGGCACACCCTGGCATCTCTCTTTCTCCCTTCCCAAGCCTGAGCATCCCCCCTTCCCCGGTCCCTGAAGCACCCCCATTTGCTCAGCAAAGGGCAAGCTGGGATAGACCAAGCCACTCGGAATCGGCAGCCACGTTCCCACCCTGCATGGGCGCAGAGCCGGGTGCTCCCTCTCCGGCTGGAACCCCTGGACAGCCCACATTTGGGGTCCGGTGGGTCAAGACTCCTGGGTGCTCTTGCTGCTCAAGCATAGAAGCAACTCACCCTCTTTGAAGGCCGGGCAGGAGGATGGGGGTTCCCTGTTCTGCAAAGCAATGAAAGAGCAAGTGAGGCTCTGGTTGGGATCCCAGGGATTCACCCTGCCCGCCCTGCAGCCAGGCTGGTCCTGAAGCACCAGGACAGAGGGCACAGTGTCCTGAGGCTGGGGCAGGGGGCACAGGGTCCTGTGGCTGGGGAGGCTGTTCAAACCCACCAACCTCTTCCCCAGGGCACGCATGGATCAGACAGCCATGCAAGTATCCCCCTGCACTCACGGCAGCAGAAGCCAAAGCCAGTACCGAAGGTCTTGTCTGGGCAACCCAGCAGCACAAGGCCCTGTAAGACCCAAGGAAAAGATATCCCTGGCTCCCCTCTGCCCCCACCCAAAACCCAATGAGGGAGCAGAGCCAAGGGGCATGTCCTAGCTTGTTGCCGCACCGCCGCAGCCCGTGCACGATGCACTCACGGTCACGCTGCCTTGGGGTGGCTGCTCAGCCTCCGGGGCCGGAGCAGGAGGCAGGGTCACCCA